GGGCAGCCCGCCTCTTGCATAACGCATCCATGGCACTGATGAAAACGAGAAAAGAAACTCTCCGATGAAGCAAGGTGGGGAGGAGGGAGGAGGTGGAAGAGAAGAAGGACGAGGATGAAGACCAAAGACCTCACACCGTTGTTGGCGTATAGACTGGATGCCTTGCTAAAAAGTGATCTGACGTCAAATATTTATTTTTTTAAAGCAGAACCTACCGTTTTACCTTGTGCCACCTGGCACAACCTCGGACCCAAAGTGATCCACTTTTCAGCAGACCAGTTTGTCAGTTATGATTAAGATAAAAGATTAAAAATTAGGTCAACCATTTTTTTAGTGTGAAAAATGGATTTGATGTCAATGCGTCCGTTGTCAGCACGATCAGCTCGATGCGTAGCGTCCCTGTGCGGGGTCACGTTTGGCTATATCGTGGCTTGTGTAACCGCTCCAGGAGACCGGCAGGGGACCGGCAGGGGACCGCCGCGCGCCACTTTGGCTCGCTTTGGCCAAACGGTGTCATTGCTAAGGTCGCCCCTGCCGCCGCCCCCCCCGGGTCGCCTCGCCTGTCGTGTCCGATGCGGCTTGTTAAGACCGATTCCGTTTTATGAGTATTCGAGAATGGGCTGTTTGCTTTTAGCTTGCGACGCTCATGTAGTCCCCGGATGGTTCTGTCTCACCAGTCTCCCTTTCGCGTTGTGTTCCAGGTCACGAGCGGAGTGCGCAGCGCGGAGGACACCATGACCAGCTAGTGCGCGGCAGACCTCACCGCGACCTCGCCGACCCCCGGCGCCCTCCCCTCCGTGTCCGCCCAGCCGAACCCCAGCCATGGCGATGATCGCCGCCATCCTGGTGCTCGTCGTGGCCGCCTCGGCGCACGCCGAGCAGCACCGGTTCTCCCTGGCGCCCTCCAACGGCACCTCCCCGACGGCGGCCGTCGCGCCGGCCGAGGCCCCGGCCCTGGTCGTGGACGCGGCCGGCGGCGCGGCCGGCTTCGAGTACATCGAGGTGGTGCCCACCAACCCTAGGGCCCCCAGCAGACCGACCGAGGGCCCCGACGACGCCATGGACCCCGCCACCGTGGCGGGCCTGCAGTTCCTGGGCAACGTGTACAACCCCCACCACTGGGCGGAAGGCGTGCTGTCCGAGCCCAGCGCCACCTGCGGGGGAGCGCTCCGGACCTACCTCAACGCCCTGGACAACGGCACCACCTGGGCCGTGCAGAGTAAGTCGTCGTCGTCAGCGTGCTGGAGTAGGCCAGGGTGCCGCGGTGCCCTCCCGCCCGTCTCGCAATAGCGAGAGATCCTCGCCCCCGCCGCTCGTTGAGAAAGGAGGGGTGGATCAGCGGCGCCGCGAGCACGCCGATGTGTGAGGCAAGCATCGGCGCCGGCCGGCGCGGGAGCGAGAGAGGCGCGGAGCAGCGAGAGAGGCGCGGGAGCGGCGCGGGAGCGGCGCGGGAGCGGCGCGGGAGCGGCGCGGGAGCGGCGCGGGAGCGAGAGAGCGCCAGAACAGTGTCTCACTGACGGGCATTCTTGAGCTTCGCCTCAGAGGAAAGACGTGGGTCAGTGCAGTTTTGCACACCCCTAGAAAATGGACAAGTTGTGGTAACCGCCTAATGGCTGGGTCAGGGACCACACCAAAGTATAGTTGAGGTGAGACAACCACCTCGTGTTCTAAACCATATTTTTGGTTATCACCACTATGGTAAATGATGCTTCAATGTTCAAGCCATGGTCCCATAACTGCGAACTGCAGCTCTAAGTTTCCTTTTGCGATGCTAGTGTTTCACTATGGTCCAGCCTCAGCAAGGGCACGGGGGCCCTTGTCCTGGATGTGCCGTGCCCCCCCCCCCTCCCCCCTTCCTCCGTGTGAGGCCGACAGGCCCGGAAGTAGGCTAAGTCTATTGACTTGTGTCCTCAGGGTGTTTGTCTGAGAGAGGAGTGGGAGGGGGAGGGGGGACCCCGCGGGAGCCTGCGCGCGAGGGCACTCGTCTCGGACCTGTACCGGTCTTGTCTCTCGGACACCAGCGGGCTGCCGGGCCCGGCCGGGCCCCGGGCCGGAACCAATGCTGACGCAATCCTGGCGGGGTGTGGCGGGGTGTGGCCTACATCGAGGAAGCCGAGCGGCTCGCCGAGCGGCCGGCCCAGCCGGCATGTCCACCTGTCCGAGGAGGTACGCGGCCCGCGCCGGTAGCCCACATGTGATGTGACTCACGCGGCCACCTAACTCGTCATCACAACGTAATAAGCACTTTTCAAAATTTATTTTCCTTTCCTTTGCCATTCCGGACGGGATTGTTCTGTAATTTCTTTTTGGTCACATGAACCTAGTGGTACATTTCCCCGTTATTTTCATACACACATATAAAAAAAAAATTATCGAGGAGAGCCGCCATGCACTGCCGAGGCCCTGTCACAGCAGGGGGGCCGGAGGGTGTGACAAGGACAGCCGCCGTTGTCGTGGCGTTGGAGAGACAAAGAGAAAGCGACCTCCCCGTCGATCATTACATTATTACAGTGGCGCTCAATTTGGAGAGAAGGCCACACCACCGGGGCCCGGGCGAGACAGACGCAGGGGGGCAGAGAGAGGAGAGTTTCGGTTTTTCCACTGAACATTTACAAGTTACGGACAAGATAAACTTATCAAAAACATCATTCTCAAATATATTATATAAAGTAAATTATATAAAGTAAAAATCTTTTAAATTAATTTAAACTATGAAGGAATGCCTCGAGGAATGCCTTTATTAGTTTTGATTTTACATGCCTTTTAAATTTTTGGTTCTTAATGGAACTTCGTAGATTCTTGGTGGTAAGTTACACAAGTTTAAAAGAGATGAAGTCCATCATGAAGGAGTAGTCCCAGATTAGGGTGAGAGGGAGGGGGAGAGAGAGACAGAGACAGAGAAACAGAGAGACAGACAGAGAGAGTACTCACCTCCGTGTCCTCGCTCCCTGTCCGCGCAGTGACGGACGCGAGTGGCCGCTACTCGTCGCAGTTCTTCTTCGGCAATGACTTCTGGCTGGGCTCCCACACGCTGTGCGAGGAGATCTCCTCGCCGTACGCCGTCGACAACCCGCCCTGGGCCGTCACCTTCCACGTCGTGCAGATCAAGGTGCACCTCGACGCCGTGCTCACGCCGCACGTAAGTGTTTTGCTGTTCGATTTGGGTGCTACTGGTTCACGCTTCCGCCTGCCGTGCTCACTGCCTCGTTCGCCTGCCTGCAGCCGCGGGTGCTGCACCTCGGCGTGTGCCTGCCGAGGTCCTGCGACCCTCAGGACATCACCGCCCTCCTGGAGGCCGCCAGCCGGCCCGCCAAGTCCGCTGCCGCCGCCGCCCCCGCCGTCGGCCCCCGGCCGGCGCCCACCATGGAGGTGGTGCGGATCCGCCGCGTGCCCGGGCCGTACGTGCTGCTCGCCGACACCAAGCTCCACATCCTCGCGTAAGTACCGGGCCCCGCCCCGCCCCAAGAGCCGCCTCGCGCACAGAGACTGACTCAGCTCGACTGATGGCCCCGAAATGTAAGTACCTTGCGACACGTGTGTTGCGACTTCGCACATAGTGCGCCGGGCCGCACCATAAAAGCGAGGTGGTTCGCGTTCTTCGGGACAGAGGGCACCGCCTGCAGCACAACGTGCACGGCGAACGTGTCGCCGGCCCGAGAAGAGAATTTCTCAAGAGCCGTGAAATTAACATATATCTTCAAGCCTCGTCGTATTACTCAGTTTACAACCCCCGAAAAAACTTCCACGCCAACAAAATCGATTTTTTGTTTTGTTTTTTGCGAGTAACAAGAAGCAGGAGGGCGGAATAAACTGCTACAGTGTCGTGTTATTTTTTGTTTGTGTCTTTTTGCCGGGTGCCGCGTGGGGGCACCGCGCCAGTGACCTAAACGCACGCGCTCCACGGAGTCCGTGCTCGTCGGGTATGTCACCACAGCTCTGAGGTTCGCCAGCAGCGGGGCCCTCAGATGGCGCGGCGCTGAGCGGCGGGGCGGGGCGGGGCGGGGCAGTGACTTACCTTGACTCGGTTTGTCCCGACCGCAAGCGTAGCTTAACGCGCCGCGGTCCTTGCGATTAAGCGGCGACAAAAGCGACTCGCGGCCGCCATTAAGGCAGAGACGCCTGTTAATGCCGACCGCAGGGGGAACCGCAACGCGAGGACCGGCGGGGACGGGGACGGGGGGGTTCAATGTGGTCCCATAACTGCGAACTGCAGCTCTAAGTTT